TTATAAGATTATTCATGGGATAGAGCAGGTAGAGAAAGAGGTACTTTTCTCCCTTTCTCACAATACAAGAACTCATGAGCACTCAATGAAATTGCTGAGTGGTCGGGTTAGAACGGATAAAAGGAAGTACTTCTTCACCCAAAGAGTGATTAACACATGGAATTGACTGCCACAGGAGGTGGTGGGTGCTACAAGCATGGACGGCTTCAAAAGGGAATTAGATAAGCATATGGAACAGAGGTCCATCAGTGGCTATTAGCCACAAGGTATAGATAGGGAAGGAGCTGCGGTGGCTCAAGTGGTTAAGACGCTGAACTGCAGGCTGTGGAAGGTCGGTAGTTCAGCAGTTCGAGACCCGAGTGTGCCGCATGACAGAGTGAGCTCCCGTCTCTAGTTCCAGCTCCTGCCAACCTAGCAGTTCGAAAGCAAGAAATTGCAAGTAGATAAATAGGTACCACTTCAGTGGGAAGGTAACAGCGTTCCGTGTGCCTTGGTGTTTAGTCATGCCGGCCACATGACCACAGAAACGTCTTCGGACAGCGCTGACTCTTCGGCTTTGAAACGGAGATGAGCACCGCAACCCTAGAGTTGGAGTCGACTGGCTTTCGAGCAAGGGAACCTTTACCTTTACCTTTTATAGATAGGGACTCTGGGGCAAGTGATGCTCTGTCTTCTTGGTGCTTGGGGGGGGGGAGTCAACAGTGGGAGGGCTTCTAATGTCCTGGCCCCACTGGTGGACCTCCTGATGGCACCTGGTATTTTTGGCCACTGTGTGACAGAGTGTTGGACTGGATGGGCCTTTGGCCTGATCCAACATTGGCGTCTCTTATGTTCTTATGTTCTTAAGTTACAGGAGGGTAGATTTTGGTTGAAGAAACTTCCTGTGAGGTGAGGATGGCTTGACAATTGTTTGGAGAAAAATCTCTTTTCTCAATGTGGTTCCAATCCATGGATTTAAGTATCTGCAGAATTAGATATATTGATACTGAGATTCATTAAAACTGTATTCTGGTGAAATGTTCGTTTGAGTAACTATGGGACTAGTATCAGGATGGCAAGATTTCGAAAAAACCAGGACATTGTGCAAGTTTTTCTCTCTAAAACATATTTCTGGGAACTTACTTAGCTTCAGGATCATATTCAGCCCAAATACGTTTAAACTCATCCAGATGATGAGGTCCAAGAATTGACCAGTCCCGTGTCAGGTAGTCAAAGTTATCCATGATAACAGCAACAAAAAGATTAATAATCTACAAACAAGAACAGAAATATTAATGGAGAGAAAGTATTTTATGCCAGAATCCTCTATGCTTTAAAACCCTTTTCATACAGAATCCTGAGTTTTTGACTCCAGAAATCTGTTGTTTGTTTGAACATGGTCACACATAAATTCATTCCTGTTAACTGAATATTATCAAAAATCCAGCCTCTTTAAAGAAACCAATCAAGTCACAGCAAGAGATGACCAGAGGTGGTTTGCCATTGCCTGCATCTTCACAGCAACCCTGGACTTTCTTTAAGATCTCCATTCAAGTAATCATCAGGGCCAACCCTGCTTAGCTTCCAAGATCAGGCTAGCCTGCATTATCCAGGTCAGTGCGCTATACAACTACATTATATAAACTTGCTTCCGCTTCTTGGCCATAGCTGCCTCCATGCGAACATACCTCTGGCAAAATATCTCCTGCATCCCTCCCCTGAGGAGAAGAAGAAGCATAAGAAGAAGCATTTGGTTTAGAGTCCTAACTTTTACTTCATGGATGTGAAATGTCCAGATTGCTACAAAATCACCAATGTGTTCAGACACGCTCAGATGGTGGTTCTCTGTGTCGGCTGCTCAACTGTCTGTGCCAGCCCTCTGGAGGGAAGGCCAGGTTGACAGAAGGATGCTTCTTCATGTAAAGCAGCATTAGATTTCTGCAGCTGGTGGTCCCAGATGGGTGGGGCTACACGCACAGTCGCTGGCTCAAGTACTGAAGGCTGAAGAGTGCCGATCAGGGGACGTGAGAAACACGGGCTGTGACTGCGTGGCTCTTGAGGCTTCAGCCACTCGTGATGGCACACAAGGAGGAAATGTGTACTGTCCTTGTAGCCTCAGCCATTTGATTCAATAAATTTTGGATTTTTTTTAAAAAAACCTTGCTTTCTTTAGTGCACAACAGTAGTGCACATCAGACAGAGACGCTTTTATAATGGACGATGGTAAGCGAGGTCCAGCTGGCCCAGTCATCTGATGTATTCAAATGTTTGGGCATTTCCTTTATGCTTGAAGGATTAGGTAATTAAAGAAGTGAAGCAACAGTCTTTTGGTGGGGGTGGGAAGGGACATAATATTTGCAACTCCTTCTCCCAGAACTGGCTTGAGGGAATCTCAGAGCTCCCTAGCATTACTTCCTTGCATTGTCACATTCACTGCCTACTCTCCTCCTTGCTGGAAAGAACAGTACTGACTATAGCTCTAGATGCCTAGGACAGTCTTTTTGTTTCCCCTATGATAGTGTTATCTTAAAAAGGTGTATTATGCATATTCATTATATCCTTCGCCATCAACAAACTGTACTGTGATACATTTTGCCTAAATCTGTTATACATTTTTGCCTAAATCTGCAACCCTGCTGTAATTATATATTTCTGGTTATGGCAATTTTTAAATACATGAACAGTTTATAAATTTATTAACTAAATCAAGAACATAAACATTGTGAGTAGGAACAACTCCCTTCACACAGGTCATGCTGCCAGCAGCAGTGCAACCCAGGAGTCAGGCTGCATGGTTGTTGCTGGCCCAGCAGGGCTCCCGGGCTTCACTGCTACCGCTAGGCCCAGCGGTGGCAGTAGCTGTGCTGAACAGCCATGCTGGGGCAAGTGGTGGTAGCACAGCACAGGAGCCCCAGTGGGCCCAGGAGCCGCCTTGCAGCTTGGGATCCCAGTAGGGTATGGTGCCAGCAGCAGTGCAAAAGAGGCTGAGGGGAAGACTCTGCTGGCTCCCTTGGAACAACTATGGGTGAGCCAGCAGATACTGCCCCCCCTCTCTGCAGCTTGCCTGGAGCAGCTCCAGGTGATCCAGCACAATCTCCCCCCTCCCAGCTCTCCAGTGAGCCACAGAGAACTGGGGGGGGGGGAGAGTTAGACTGTACTGGCTTGCCCAGAGCTGCTCTGGGTAAGCTGCAGGGAGCGGTGGGGGACAGTGTCTGCTGGCTTGCTTGGATGTGCTGTGGGAGAGCTACAGAGAGCTGCCGGGCAGCCCGGGGCTCCACGCTGGGCTCAGCAATGGGGGAGGGGATGGTATTCCTTCCACCACGAGTCTCATAGCCCCCACTTTATGCATATTTTCAGTCCATACAGAATACATTTATGTTTCCAGAGCATAACAAAAAGAAGAATATTTTCCAGAATGGTAGATTTCATGTTTTTCTCAGAATATCTTTCAGTAACAGTTGCTGCTGCTAAGTTTCAGATGGTTTTGGTTATTGGTTGTGACAAAATTGGAATCTTGGTGTAGCTCTGTGGTCTTTAAAGAAAAGACTCAAAGAACTTATCCGTATTGTTACCATAAATGGATGACAAGCTATTCCTCTAGAAACAAATGTGTTGAATTTGAAGCTCAGCAGTTAATTAGTCTTAAGAAAACATTAGCTACCTCTTTTGGGCAGTGTGTGCCATCTTGGAGCAACTATATTTTCCCATGCATGAAGGAGGTAAGCCACTTTAAAGGCCAACATATATAGCTGCTGACAGATACTCACTAGAAAGGCACAAAGCATGTAGAAACTAATGAAATAAAAGATGGCAAAGCTGCTTCCACAGGAATACTCATCTTCGGTAGAGTTGTTTTGTTCCAAGGAATCAGAGTCACATTTCTTATCAGGGAGGCATGCCAGCATGATTTCCTGCCATGCTTCACCAGTAGCACACCTGTGAAAAAGAGGTTGATAAGAAGGAAGAAAGAAATTAATCATTACAAGTGAACATTTCAGATAATAAATGCTGAAGCAGTTGCTTTTGCTTCACTGTCTAATGAGAGCTAGTTACTTTGTATGCCTGCTGCAAAACACATCCCTTGGTTCAAGAGCAGCCATAGCATTCTCTTTTGGAAATATAGGATATTCCGAGTGACTGATGTCTGATTTCTCTCATCTGATCTGGGGGTCTTCCAGTCTCCATTCAGTGAGTTTGTTTCCTGCCTCAGTTAGAAGACCACAACGTTTGTAGGAGCTGTGGTTAAATTTTGCTTCTGGTGTATTGTCTACATTCTTTCTGTCTCATATTGTCTCACCTGCTTGGATGTGGGCACACTTAAAAAATAAAGAAGGAGGAGCCTTGTAGTTCACTCTGTTGCTTAGTCTTGCCACCTATATAAGTGAAGTAAAGAAAATGTTGTTGGGTGAGCAATTTCTTTCCTTGGGCTTTGTTAAAGCCTCCTGTAAAGCCCCCTCAGCCCTGTCCTTGCCGGGCATTCAGTTGCTGCATCTGCTTGGCAATGTTCACAATCTCATCAAAGCTGTTACTGCTGCTGTGTTTAATATTCTTTTGCTTCTTACAGTCATGAGATGGTGCCTTCAAAGCTTTTATGATCAAGGTGGAGGCTGATGGGACCACTTCTGTCTGAGCTTGCCTGTTCTGGGTGGTCAGCTTCATGGTGATTCTCAGCACTTTCCATTCATCAGTAGCTTTGGCAATGTCATCGCCAACCTTTTTGGGAAGACAAACCCAGGGGCCCAGTTTTAGGAGCCAGAGCAGAAGTTGCAACTAATTCATCTCTGGTGTACCTCAGGTACATGACTTTAATCTTGTCGGGGGCTAACTTGGGTGACATGGCATTGCAAGGAGTGCTGGGTTAAGCACTAGGAAGGATGTGGCTACAGCAAGCAATGAAACTTCCCTCGTTGTCATAAAAACGGCAAGAGATCTTTGCTGCAACAATCTCAAGTGATACAGTGGTTAAGGTCTCAGTCCCTACAAAGGAAAAAAACTCAAATCCTTAAAAAGTCTGTTTCTGGGCTTGTTTAGAAAAAAAGTTGAGATGTTCAAAAAAAAGTTGGTAATTTTCAGCTTCAGGTATTTCAGACCCGAAAAAATCGGTAAATGCCAAATTTCCTCAGTCTGATATCAGTAAAATATTGGGATTGGGGAAATACTCGGTATTGCTGAATATATTTGGGTCAGATATACCCGAAAGGAGGGAAGGGAGGCATGTAAAAATGCCTTCTTTCCCTCCAGAAGCTCCTGCAGCTTTTCTTGTCAATTTCACTCCCGCCAGTCAGCTGTTAGGTTTAAGCAGTTTAAATCTAACAGCAGACAGGTCAGGGAAGTGAAACTGACAAGGGAAAGCGTCCCCTCTCTGCCTTACCTTCTCTAGCTTACCTTTTCTACATGCCTGGGCCCCTTGCCTGCCCTTCTCCAATTGCCCCACAGTTGTGGAGTGGCTTGAGAAGGGCAGGCAAACAAGGCAGGAATGTTTAAATGCCTTTCCCTCGCCTTTCCCTCCCCGAGTTCCTCTTTCTCTTTCTTTCCCTTCCCTCCCTGAGTTTCTCCGCAGTAGCACAAATGCTCAGGGAGGGAAGGAGGCATGTTTCCATGCCTGCCCTTCCCTTCCTCAGCCTACCCACCGTGATGGGCCAGCTGGGGAAGCCAAGGGCAGTCATGAAAACATGCCTGGGCTCCCTGCCTTCCCTTCTCCAGCTGCCTTACAGCTGCGGGGTGGCTAGAGAAGGACAGGCAGACAGGACAGACATGTTTAAATGCCTTCCTTTACCTTCCTGAACTGGGAGAGGGAAAGAAAGGCATGTAAACATGGCTGGGCTCTCTGCTTGCACTCTGCTTGCACTCCAGCCCTGGGGCAGCTGGAGAAGGGGAGGCAGAGAGAAGAGGCTTTCCCTGGTCAGTTTCACTTCCACAACTGACTGGCAGGGAGTGAAATTGACTAGAGAAGCCACAGGGCTATTATTTTGTTGGATGTTGGCATTCAGTTACCCAAAAGCTGAATAAATTCAGGAAACTTTATTCGGTAGCTGAAAATTTCCTGAGTTAGCATTCGGCTTTAGGAATCCCTAAAAAAAAAGGTGGCAGCCAGACAAGCAGCTGTGGATCTTATTTTCATGGCAGTGCTTGATGATAGCCTTTATAGATTCTTTTTCTCTCGGCAAGAGCCCATGCCAGTTCTGCAAATGGAACGCTCTTGACCTTTCAGGAGAATATCATGTATATTAGCAAGATCTGTATCCAGATTCCTCTTCAAGTCAAACACAATACACACTAGTGGGCTGCTACAACTTTGTTAAACAGGAGGAAGTTATTCCAGATTCCTTCAGTCATGCAAGTGATCACAGATGCATGACTCCAAGGACAATAATTCACTGCCAGGAGTTGCCAATGTTTAGCCTGTGGACCTTTATTGACAAACCCAACAGCATAAATTGGGTGAAGATGGGAGCCAATCACCTGGTGCTCATGAGCTTCTGATTTTCAACCCATTAGCAGCATCAGTACTTCAAGTCCTATGATTTCTACAGTTGGGGGCTAATGAGAATTTTTGCCTCTATACTCTTAAACAGCAAACTGCTACATTGGCAACAATATTATCATCAGCACGGGGTGTGAATATCTAGATACTTTCATGGCAAGTGCTTTCTTTGGGGGATTTATTTGCTACATACAGGAACACACAGATTCCCAACTTGGAGGTTCCATGTAGTGCTACCAGCCCTCACCCTCTTCCTTTTGAGCCAGTCTGAGAAATCTCTCCCCGGTTCCTTTAATTTCAGATGCTGTTTCTTATATCAGTAACATCAGCCAAGGGAATTTCAGAATTGGGAGCTCTATCTGTCAGTGTATTTCACTAGGATAGGGTAATATTAAGAAATGAACCACCTTTGATTCCTCAAGTTCATTCTGTCGTTCAAAAGTGTTACTTCTGCCATCCTTCTGTCCTAAACCACAGCATCATCAGCAGAACAATTGGTACATCCTGGATGTTTGCAAAGCACTCACAATAACAACAGGTAGAGTCTTCACAGAAGACCAGACTCCTTGTTTATCATCTTTCCAAGGAAAGGAGGTTTCTAAATCCAGGATTGGAATTTCTAGAATGAGTGTATGGAGATTAAACATTTCTGTCTAACTCTTTTTCTTTGGTTCCTCTTCATCTGTCAAGTTTTTTCTCTTGCATGGTTCATGGTTTGTTATCTAGATTCCAGCTGTTAGAAATCAAACTGAGTGGAGATCTCTCTCCTCCCTCTGTCAGAAACTGGAAATTGGAAATTCGCTGTGTCTCCAGATCAGATTAGAGGATCCTCCATTAATCAGTAATGGTATCCCCAGCTGCCACCTGGACAGCCCCTCCAGGGCCGGGGCTGCTCCCTCCCCATCCCTCTCAGGGAACCCGACTACAAAAGGAGGTTGAGGCGGGGGGAGGGGCATGGCTCTGGCAGCTGCGATGGCTAGACCGAGAAGAAGAAGGCTGGATCTCCTTAGGGGAAGAGTCAGGACTGACTGGCCCAATGGCCAGTCTGCTGCAGGGTGGGATGAATATCAGAGAGGGGAATAAAGAGGGGGAGGAAGGCAAACCAAGGATGATGACCCAGGGGCTTATGAAGACTGGAGGCACTGTGTGTGAGGAGTGAGTGTCAGGAGGGGGCCCAGGCACTGAGAGAGAGAACGAGGCAGTGAGGGGCTGAACCCCAGATGGCACAGGACTCCGAAATAAGCCCAGGTAGGGGAGTGCGGCGTGAAGTAACGGCCGGCTATCCTAGAGGTCTGAGGTTTTGCTAACTGGCCCTCCCTCGAATTCCCACTCCTGAGACTCGCCCTTCCCCGTGGAGAGTTGCCGGGACGGACAGAGACGTGACACAAGGCTCACCTGAAAAGTAGCAGCACTGCTTGAGGGAAAGTCTGAAAGTTGTTGTTCCTGTTGATTTCTGTGGTATCATTCAAGGCAATTTTACCAAACACCTAGTCAAAGGAAGAAGAATGTTATGGGGGCAACAGTTAAGGAGAAAAAGAGAGAAAGATGTTTATGTACAGTAACAAATTTGAAAGAAGTTCCTTTGTTGCAAGTTGGGATTAAAAGTGGATTTTGATACTGATTTAGATGCTAAATTCAGTTGTTTCATTATGTATACATTTGGTTGATTTTCTGTATTTGATCTTCTACTTGACTTTTAGTTTCATAGATTCCGCACCTAAATACAATTCACTGTTTAAAAATTGTGAGTTTTTAAAACAAGATTACAATTTATTTATTTATTGGGATTTTTACCCCGCCCTCCCCGCAAAGTGAGCTCAGGGCGGCTTACAAGGGGCAAAGCCCATATAAAACATGGTAAAAGCAATAAAAACATTAGTAACAATTACAACAACAATAATACTCAATTAAAACAAGATGGTCCCCGGATGCCATGATGGTAAACAGACAGTTCTCCGGAGATGATGTTGTCTTATAGCCGATCCCAAGCAGTAAGTCCGGTGGTATCAGTCACACAAAAATTGTGGTAGATCTTCCCGGGCCATCCTTAACCCCAATGTTGTCCACATAATTGGTGGCGGTGGTAGTGGCGGCCCCTATGTGAAAGCCTGGCGGAAGAGCTCCGTTTTACAGGCCCTGCGGAACTGCATAAGGTCCCGCAGGGCCCTGATCTCCTTTGGGAGCTCGTTCCACTAGGTAGGGGCTGCCACCGAAAAGGACCTGGCCCTAGTCACAGCGAGCCTTGCCTCCCGGGGCCCTGGAACTACCAGGCGATGTTGTGCCCCGGACCGAAGTGCTCTTGGGGGTATAGGTGGGGAAAGGCAGTCCCTCAGGTAAGTCGGACCCTGGACATATAGGGCTTTAAAGGTAAGAACCAGCACTTTGAAATGGATTCGGTATGCTATTGGCAGCCAGTGCGGCGCTTTCAGCCCAGGCTGAACGCGTTCCCACTTGGGGAGACCCATCATCAGCCTGGCCGCCGCATTCTGCACTAGCTGCAGCTTCAGGATCTGCACCAAAGGCAGCCCCATGTAGAGAGCGTTACAATAGTCTAACCTTGAGGTGACCATCGCATGTATCACTGTAGCCAGATCATCACGGCCGAGGAAGGGAACCAACTGCCAAATCAGCCTAAGATGATAAAATGCCGATCTGGCAGTGGCTGCCACCTGGGCCTCCATAGTTAAGGAGGGATCCAGGAGCACTCCCAAACTCCTAACCTCCGACACTGGCACAAACGACGCCCCATCGAAGGTCGGGAGAGGGAGCCCCGACACCGGTCCGCTCCGACTCAAGCACAGGACCTCCGTCTTCGCTGGGTTTAGTTTCAGCTGGCTCAGCCTGAGCCACCCAGCCATGGCCTGTAGGGCCCGGTTCAGATCTTCTGAGTTGGAGCCCGACCGGCCACCCAACATCAGATAGAGCTGGGTATCATCAGCATATTGATGGCAACCCAGCCCAAACCTCCTGGCAATCTGGGTGAGGAGGCGCATGTAGATGTTAAACAACATTGGGGAAAGCACTGCCGGGACTGCTGTTCCCCTATCGCCACCCTCTGTTTTCGACCTTGGAGAAAAGAGGCAAGCCACTGAAGAGCGAGCCCCTGTATCCCCACGTCGGCGAGGCGGTGGGTCAGCAACTGGTGGTCAAGCTCGTCAACCGCGGCCGACAGATCTAACAACAACAGTGCCGCCACACAGCCTCGATCCAGATGCCTCCAAAGGTCGTCAGTAAGGGCAACCAGCACTGTCTCCGTTCCATGGCATGGGCGAAAGCTGGACTGGAATGGATCAAGAACAGAAGCGTCATCCAGAAAGCTCTGAAGCTGTGTCGCCACTGCTCTCTCAATCAATTTGCCCAAATAGGGCAAATTGGACACCGGCCGATAGTTGGCCAATCCAGCCGGGGCCAGAGATGTTTTTTTCAGGAGAGGATGGACCATCACCTCCTTGAGTGCCTCAGGGAACCGTCCCTCCAAGAGGGACTTGTTGATAATCTCCCTTATGGCACCTCGAAAACCCTCGTGGCCCACTTTAATGAGCCAGGAAGGGCACGGATCAGACGGCATGTGGTTGGACGCACAGATGCAAGCAGTCTATCAACTTCCTCCAGACTGAGCGGGTCAAAACATTCTAAACCCTGCAGAGACGCGCAAGGGGCCTCAAGTTCGCTCACTGTTTCAATTGTGGCAGGGAGGTCACAGTGGAGCGTCAGGACTTTATCTGCAAAATAGCTCGCAAAAGCCTCACAGCCAATATCCAATTCCCTACTGTTTTGTCTGCCATGAGGCAAAGCTGTCAAAGACTGAATTGTTCTAAATAATTGGGCTGGGTGTCAGCTCGCACACGCAATCCTGGCTGCATAGAACTCCCTCCTAGCACCCTTGACTGCCATCTCATAGGATCTCATAAATGTCCTATAAGATGTTCTTAATGCTTCGTCACAAGCATGCCGCCACCGTCTCTCTAGCCATCTTAGTTCTCATTTCATAAGCCGCAACCCCTGGGTATACCAAGGGGCCAGCCTAGAGCGAGAGCGCAGAGGGCGCCTCGGAGCGATCTCATCAATGGCTGTGGAGAGTCGGTCATACCAGTCCTCCACAAGCTCATCCAATGAGCTGCCTGGGGCATCAGATCCCGCAGAGCCATCTGAAGCTGAACAAGGTCCATTTGGTTTTGCGGGCGAGCTAAAATCTGCTCGCCGCCTTAACAGGGTTGGGGTGGGACATTCAGATGAGCCTTCAGGACAAAGTGGTCCGACCATGGTACTGCCGCTGCATTAATCTGGTCCACTGTAATCCCTGCCGCGAAGATCAAATCGAGCGTGTGCCCGGTCTGGTCCATGGGGATTGCTACAAATTGAGAGAGTCTCAGTGCCGCCATGGATGAAACCAGGTCCGCAGCCCGGCTGGAGGTCGTGTTATCGGCATGGACATTGAAGTCACCCAAGACCAAAAGCCTAGGGTGCTCCAGCGCCCAGCCTGTACAGCCTCCAGCAGGGATGGCAGGCTACTGGCCAGTGCGTTAGGCGGTCGGTACACTAGCCAGATTGCCAAACTCTCCACAGTCCCCAGCACAAAGCCGACACACTCCATGCCCGTGATCTCCAGCGGTGGGAGCGACCTGAAGGAGAAAGCCTCCCAAATGAAAATCGCCACACCTCCCCCCCGCCCCTTAGTCCACGATTGATGTAGGACCAAGAACCCGGGTGGGGCAAGCTGGGAGAGAGCTACCGTCTCCCCATCCCGCACCCAAGTCTCAGTCATGCACACCAGGTCCACCTGTTGTTCCATGACAAAGTCCCGAAGGACTGTCGTCTTATTATTGATGGATCTGGCATCACACAATACCAATGACGGAGAGGGGTACTTCATCCTAGCCCCACTGCTGGTTTACTTGCTAAGTCTGAGCAACAAATCAAGGGAATTTAGATTGGCAAGGAAGAAGAAATCCTTTTTCTTTATTTGACAGCTGTAGATACTATAACTCTTCAACATATTTGCAAAGAAGATGCATGTGAAACCAATTTACCCACGTTTCAGTTTAAATATGCAAAAGTGTTCTGATATTATTAAAGATTAATACACCCAACTTTTTCTGAGGAAAATGCATGAAATCAAAATCTGGAAATGGATCTACAGTCCTTAACAGTTCTAAATCAACTGAAGTCAGTGGGCTTAGAAAAACTGTTTAGGACTCCACCATTAAATCTGTCTCAGCGCCCCTTGAACACTCCCCTCCCATGTATCTTGGTTGAGATAAAAAAAACCTTGGTGATGTCAGAATCTTTGGTTGGGCGCTGCACATGTACTAGGATACAGAATATGCAGCTGGGAGCTTTGGTTGCTACCAACAATCTTCTGTGGAATTGATAGTACCATTTTTAAAAGGAGAGAAGTACTGGAATTTTCTACAAGACTTAGGGCAGGAAAATGGCATTTATATTGTTGTTCAAAGTTTGTTGCCTAATGAGCCCCCTGGAATTCTCCAGGCTCAGACTCCCCCACTCACTAGTTAATAATGACAGCCACAGCTGTTCTGAGGGGGCGCTGGGAGTTACCATTTCAGGAGGACAGATTAAATGCTCTGAGGCAGGCCATATTTTTCATCTCAGGAAACAAGAGTATGTGGCAAGCTTTCCACATGGGAAGATCTTTTTTGTCCTTTTAAACTCTCCATATAGCAGACAAAATGATGGGCAATGGCTAGGCTAAAATCAGCATTTATCTTCTCATCTGCAAACCAAAATGATTAGGAGTGGCAGAAATGTAGAAAATGACAAAAGGAGATTCCTTCTTTGGCTAAACCTTCTTTGGCTAAACCACCCATCGTTATCAATTTACATTTTTCTACCTGGCTACAAAAGTCTGCAAAGCTTAAATATTGTGATGCTTCATACCACAGAGGGCAGCTCTAACAGATCCTCCTTTTTTAGTTCAGCATGGTTTTTTAGCAGGGACCATTTCCGCACAAGTGCAAACCTCCGCATTGGCGTTCTTAAATAACTGAAGTTTGTAAAACTTTCCACACAACTTTTTGACTCCCCAGGAGTAGATCCTAATTTAGTGCCCTGCTAGCCTGCGATTCCCCCCCCCTTTTGATCTGAACTCAGTTTTCCAGTGAGGAATTCCCTATTTTGAATTTTGTTTCCCACTGCCCTTTTGTATCATCAGTATGATGTGTTCACCCCTCCGGGCACCCCCCCAACTCATGTTGCCCAGAGTAATTTGCTATTTTTTTAAAAAGTGTAATGTTGATTGTTATGATGTGATTTTTTTTCATTATAATATAGCAACACTATACGTTGGGACAAAACAGGCAGCGATGTTTCATGTAGCTTTCTCCATGCAATTACCTGTCCATGAAGTTCCTTTCCTTTCATTTTTTTTGGTGGGTAGGTTTTGATGCCACATGCTTGTATTGTTTCTGCATTCTCCCCCCCCTCTCTTCCCCTATAGATCCCAGTACATTTTCTTTCTTTTTTTTAC